AGCGGATGGTTAATAACTGATCGCGAACGGCCGCCTCCGATGCGCGCGCGGCGTCTATGCCTACTGGCATTGCGGACAAGTAACCAACATCTTCCGACCTACTCATGAGACTACAAAAGGAAACATAAAACAAGTAAAAACCAAAAAATATATACCAATACTTTGACGACTAACGCTCAGACAACGGCCAAGACCATGCCTTAAAGTACCCCAAGACCCCTAACGGAGTCCGATAAAGAAATCCTCCTCTCCTCCAGTCAGATCACGATTAAGAGTTCTGGGCAATGATTTAAGGACTCCAAGGCCCCTAACGGAGTCCGAGGAAGACATTCAAATGAGACGATTAGGATGCTCCCGGATGTACCAGTCACAGTACGGTGGAGAACACGCAGGAAATATAGCGGGTACCAACCAAAGTACTGATTGTATCAATACTTAACCTTCCACTTCTAAAGCAGCCACGAGTACCAACCAAAATACACATGCGGTTAAAGGAGAAGGTCAAAGAAAGAAGAGAAACAAATTTCTATATCAGATTAGAAATAACCGGTAAGGAAGAGCCGATAGTCAAGATCTAGAGTACATATAATACACAAGATAGCTAAAGAACGCGCTGCCGGCACCTTAATTGGCGAAAAAGAATTAAAGCACCAAAGACTTATAGTTATAGAAGTATGAAAACTACCTGAGTAGGAAGTAAACAGAAATTCGACAAACTAGAAGAAAGAGTTATTAATCTGGTTAAGAAACTGTGATATTTGCATTGCATTGTCTTCGAATACTGGCAGCAAAATTTAAAGTCGAAGTTATGAATAAGACTCAGAAGAAGTAATAACTCAAAATAACCATTCCTTACTCACCAGAAAGCCACCGAATATTAGTTATTTTGAAATTCAGTAATACGTAACTGTAATGGACCCGAATTTATAACTGAAAAAAAGGAGTAGGCACTGCTTGCCATAAACTATTACAGAGATATTTTTATCTCTATAACAACAAAAACTATGTGGTTATATTTACTGAGCGAAGTCACGTAGCTGAAGGCTGATTTAAATAGATATTTTCACGACTAAGTTCACTGAGGTTCGCTTAAATGAGGTCTCGCAAGTTAAGTATTATTATGGAATATAGATTGCAGCCCTGCTTGAAGGGGCGGACTTAAATCTTTCGCGATGGCATGGTAGAATTTCAAAAGAGATATTATGGCGAAGGAAATTATGTAAAAACATTTTTTGGAAAACAAAATTCGCAACAACAGATAAGTATAGGCTGTTATTTTGATTGCTTAGGATATGTCCATTGATCCTTTCATTAACTTTTTAGACGTGAGCTTAATTCTGAGCACTCTTTTTTATTCACAAGCACTTCAAATTTGGTATATAAAAGAGCTTAAGCAATTAAGTAGATACATAGGTAAAAGTCATTTCAGAAAATGGTAAAATCACAAAAATGTATGAATTTCTAGATTTCACATGAGTTCACGCCACAGTGCACTGCGACTGAATTCTATATTGAACAGTATACCAGAGCGAACTATAACATCACTTTTATTCAGTTATTTAAAAGAATTGTGTGTCGCCGGTCGTATAAATCGAAGTCAACAGAGCTCTTTGAAGACCTATTCGATAGAAGGGAACCATATAATGCATGGCGTTCCCCGGAAGTCATACTAAGTCGCACACGTGCGGTCGGTGCCAGTTGCGTTGGATATTTAAGTACAAAATCACTGAACTGCTGACTGGATCGCCGACTCGTCCGTTTATGGTTGCCTTGTTCCTTCTGATGCAATAAGTTATAACTATATCTCATACGACTATATACTGGCCAATTTTCCTTTGGTACATCGACGAAATTGATAGAGCTAGCTCTTGATGGAGTGCGCGATCTCCGACGATAACTGTGTGATCTTCTTCGATTGGAGTAACGTCTAGGCTTGTTACCTCTGCCGAAGAAAGCGCGGTACTCACGCATGGCCTCAATGGGATTCGGTAACGGGGTTTGGGTTTGTATCTGTAACGAGACATCTGTTTGTCTTTGCTTGGGCTTACCCTCAATGCCGCCCCCCACGGTCGCATACAGTTTATTTAGATCGCTTAAAAAGCTATTATTGCATACTTCATTCGGTTTGTGCGCAGTATCTTTGAAACTATAGATAGAGCGCTTTAAACGTTCCAGATAATCACGATAAGTGCGATAAATGTCACCCCTCTGGTGTTGGTAATCACGATAACCGTCACCCATGTGGTATTGGTGTTTACGGTAATTGTCGCCCGTGTGCCACTGGTCATTATATTGTGTTTGCTGACATGTCGGACAGTATGTTAACGGTATCTCAACCATGCTTTTGTAGCTTTCGTAATCAACATCGAGTCGCTGCAAAATACGCGGCGAACAACCTGGTATAACTTCGTGCGTATCACGGCGACTCTTTCGACAGCTTTTGAGTTTGTTGCACAAACAGCTTCGTCGTTTCTCCTTCGCACTTGCTTTTTGTTTTGATAGATCATACGTACTGTACAGATCCGTTACACTCGTGCTTTTCATCTTCAAATAGTGGCCCGTTAGGTGGCGCTCGTAGAGTTTATATTCATCGTTGCCACTGCACTTGTTGTTGGAGAATAGTCCACAAACGGAATGGCTTCTGAAGTATTTCTTGCAACAGCAAGGGCATGTCCAGCGATTATGTCGGCAACAGCTCTTCACACTGCTCGGTTCGCGTAGGTATGTGGATGAGCAACTCGCGCAGCGTCTTCTAGCGTAGCTGTCGCACTGACTGCAGCTGTGGCAACATTCACACATTTTTGTAATTTTTTATTGTAATTTTGTGTAATTTTCAAGAGAAAAGTCGTTAGAAGTTTAATTTTTTTTTTTTTTTTACCAAGCGCAATGACAGAAGTTATAAGAGTGTTTACATGCTTATTGTGAAGTTTTAGACTCGATATGGTTTTCGAAATTTCCGATTAATGAATAATGTGTCGAAAACGCTGCTATAAGGTCAGTCCTTCATATATCAGCCGCAGGGATTTGCTTATAAATTTATTGAGAATGTAAAGTAAACTCATCATCCCTATCACTTTCCGTTTCCATATTTCTATTCAAAACGCTTTTCATATTTATACCAACTTATATATACATATATTCCTATGGCTATGAATATCCTCTCACTACCAATAGTTCGAGCTCTGTGCTTCTCATATATAACTCTGGCTCCCAAACTTACAACACCTTACTCGATTGGTTGAACTCCAACTCCACACAGCAGTCTTCAACGAGTCACAGTTTGACTTTACGTGAGCTTTACAAAAGACACTGTTGGTGTTCAAGTAGAGTGCTAATTTTGAAAACTTCCATTGTAAACATACCTTTTTTTAATTTGAGTAGCGGCGGTTGCTTTTTTCATATCCCTCGATAGATCATCCCAAGCACGTTATTATGTATGAAGATCAATGATAAGTAAATTTCCTTTAAACCACAGATTTTCAGATTAAGAACACTATCGAGTATTCTACTAACGGGGAGAAACGTCCTGAACTAGCAGAAGTATGCCAAATCGAGGAATAAAATTTTAACATGACTTTTGACCTTCTACACACTTTTCGAAACTAAAGGACTTATAACCATTAATTTTCTTGCCAAATTATTAAGAATCATAACTTCTCTTGTTTTTAGGCAAATCAGTTTGAAAGTTTTAAGACCCCAAAATGATATAATTGATAAATCGTTTACATACGATCAATCGGCGATGCCAGGTCCATACAATATCCCTTCCGCTTTCTCGAAATTTCGTTTCGACGAGCTGTCCTGCCTTCTTTGCTGTCCAGAGAACATCAGCGCTGTGCAATTTTGATGCGATTCTGACCTCAAACTCCAAACTCTTTCTCGCTATTCTTGCTGCCGAAGTACTTTCAAATGATGTATCGGTCTCAATGCAATGTCGATTCATTCCCCCTTGAACTTTTCGGAGTTTTGCTAGCATGTCGTGAATGCGTTCACACTGAGACGATCACTTAAAATAAGATGGGGGATCCAATATTCAACCACTTTATCGACTATTATTGACTCGTATCAGACTTATCCGTGTAGATATGCGATATCACATAACTCTACAAAAAATAATTCCTCATTGACTCTAAGATTATAACCAACTTCAATTTGAAGAAATATGTGCCAATGATTCCCTCTGCGCATGGAGCTCAGCAAATACTACGGCGGAATACATTGTGGATTATCATCACAAAGCAACAGTAATGTTTATCATAGTATAAATTTAAGCAAATGTGCGTTTTTCGCTGTTGTACGACGCATTTGTTGGTCATCCGGTTTCAATTCCCTCACGAATTGTATTTAAAAAGTTCGTAAACCAAGAACCTTTCGCCAAATTTCCATTAAGTCGATGGGCACCACCCCCATTGTGGCGCACTATGGAGAATATACTCATTAGGGTTCTTCAACACGCTAATCCACAGCAGCAATAGCGTCTTCGGTGCGCTCTGACGTGATGTTCTGACTAACTATGTCGACGTAATGTTGGACTCAGCATCCGATGCGTCGAGAGAACGGAAGCATTTTGATAATAAATTTGCACTATTTGTAAACTTTGTTCCGAGGTAAGTATGTCCATTATGAAATGCTCAACCAAACAAGAGTATAAATCGAGTAACAGCTGTAAAATTCAACATTGAAAATATTGCGCTATTGAAACTCATACAACACAACCTTAATAAAAAATTTTAAGTATGATTGCTTTAGTTATCTGTAAAACATATTTTCAACATTAGATTCAGTTATTTATAAAAATAGATGTACCTATGGAATGTTTATCTTAAATCACATAGATAAGGTTTATGTCTTGTCTACATTAGTTTCATACAGAAACCCAAAGCGAAGATACACACCCTTAACTTTTCAATTTGAGTACATTTCTTGGCAATATTGAGTGCTTTGCTTTTTTGAAACAAATTTCAAAATTAGAATTTTATTGAGTTTACAAAAGTGCACACTTTATCCAGCGCATAAAATAATAGAAGTACAAATCTCTACATAATACACCTATACATATGTAAGCTTATCATTAAGTATATAATACTAAGGTTGGAAACAGAGAGGTATTTAATGATCTCAAGAAGGGTCCTCCAAATGGCAACTTAAATGTATACTAACATACATAGTATGTATCGATTATGTATGTACATATTATGCATGTTCTCATCTGAGTTCAACTAATATTCTTACTAGTCTTTCGTCGACCCAAATATCTGAGAATCTGTCTCGGTGAAGTTTTGAAATGACGCTTCTTTACCGATCGAAATTCTGTTGGATATCTAAATGATTGACTGGATGACTCAGCAGAAAAAGTTTCTCTTAATGAATGGAATCCCGTCATTCTGTGATTGGAGGTTAAGAGGTTCAAGAGAGTACCTCTATCCATAAATAATTTCAAATCGTGTGGCTGAATAACTTTACTGTGCCTGCGCCGAGTATGGGGTGCGACACTGAGGAGTGGCGCAGGCAAACGACCGAAGAATCCCTCAAATTCATACTGCCTAGCTGCTTCACATATGTTATCATTGAAGCCGAACGCAGCGTCCTTGCCACCGCCCACATTAGCATATAGTGTATTTAAGCCGGCGAGGAATTCTTTACTAAACAGCTGTTTGACATTCAGACCATATTGGCCGTCACTGCTGATATATCTGAGAAAATTTGCGGTATCATCATCATTAAGACACGTACAGGTATTATCATCAAAATAGCCGCTGCCTGGCCACTTTGGGTAGAAAGTGAGTGGCACATCCGGCAACAGGTCGTACGGATCGCAATTGCATTCGTTAAGTAATGCTTGTTGCAAGAGCAGCGTACGCATGCGCTGACAATCGCAGTTTGGCGTTTGGGCGAGCTTGCGCAGAAGGCCGCCCCGACACTCGTTGGGCTGTTCGATTATGATTTCCGCCGGCCGCTTGATTTTTTGTTGCTTTTTCTTGCCTGTTTTTCTTTGTTGCTGGCTTGCTGCTGTTGTTGCGTAATGCTGAGTTTTTTCCTCCTGCAATGGGTTGGCGAAGCTCAAGTTCATCATTGAGGCAGGCGGCTGACGCGCCCGTTTCGCCCGTCGCCACAGCACCGTGTCAAAATGTTGCTTTAAATTTTGCTTGTAATGATCCGTTAGGCAGCGACTGTAACATTTCCATTCATCATGGTTGCTTTGGCGTGGCCAAATACAGCTCGAGCAGTTGCGTTGCAGCATTGTTGTGGCGCCGCAACAGCTGTTGCACGGGCAATGCGCGTCGTGGCAATATTTATGCATTTTCGTACTTTTATTATTTTAGGCGGGACTTTTTTAAGAATTTGGAGTTTGCGATAATTACAAATTTATTTTGTGTTCGAAAACTGTGAATTTTTAAGCTAATTTGCCGAAAAGCGAATTTAGATTTATTAAATCTCGAAAAATAAATTTTGTTTATTTACATACGGATGTGTCAATTATATTTCTATTTAAGGTGGAACTTTCTAAGCATACAACAGAAGCGAAAAACATTTTCGGATCGATTGATTGGCTATAATATAAAGAAACCTTATGATCTTACCTTATAAGCTATTTACATTATAGATATATGTATATGTATCTCCGTTATTCAAAGTATACCATACATGTCATGGGAATCACATTGAGATCAAATTCGACTCAGTTTGTCAAAATTCGGTATAAATAAGGTTATCCAGATCCAGAATATATACATATACAAGGTGCCGCAAAAATAGCCTTCCGATGTTTTTTGGCTGTAATTTAAAAAAAAAAAATTTAAAAACTTTGATTCTGCTTGTGGATTATTTTTATTTGGTCTTTTAAATTTTTTTACATCAAGTCGAGAATATGACTTTATGTAAATAGCCGCCGCCATAGTTGATTGTCATTTGAGCCGTTTTTATGGCAGTTTCCATTACTTTGGCCAGAACTTCCGCCGATAGGTCTTCACATTCTTGACGAATAGATTAGGCGTCCGGGAAATGCATCCTTCAGCATATCGGTTGTGCCACGTGCAGTGTGTGCCGTTGCACCGTCCTGTTGGAACTACATGTTTTCCAATCCTAATAGATCAAGTTGCGGCAAAAAGAACTCGTTGATCATTGCTCTGTAGCGCTCACCACTCACAGTAACCGTTTGGCCCCCGACGTCTTCGAAGAAAAAAGGTCCGATGACTCCACCAGCGAAAACAGCACACTGTACAGTGACTTTGAGCGTGTGTAATGGCTCGTCGTCGGCTACAAGCGGTTTTCCAGTGCCGCAGAATCATAAATTTTGCTTACTTACGTAGTCGCTAAGTGATTAAGGATGGCTTGAGCGTATGTTAGACGTGACTGGCGGTAAAGGTAAGGAAATAATTTTCCAACAACACGGAGATCCAAAACATGCAGCAAAATTGTTCAAGAATGGCTCCAAAACTAAAGTTTTAAAACTTTCAAATGGTCAGCACTAGGCGCACATCTTAAACCGATAGAAAATTTGTAGGCATACATTAAGCAACATCCGTCTTCTAACATGGACGAACTGTGAAGCTGGGTACAGGTGGAGTGGAGAAATATACATCACTCAATAATTGAGAACCTGATTGAAAGTATGCCTAGACAGTTAAGAAGGAAGTGCTGAGTTATTTCCACTTCCTCTTCTTCTTTATAACTTCTGCAGATGGACGTCAATAGGCAATGACCTGTTAAAAGTCCCACAACTAGGGAGAGGTTAGCCTTATTGAGGGCAAAAATATCACTAGATCTCTTGCGATCGATCAAGAAAGGCTTTTGCGTTTTTTAGGTACTGCACGACCAACACTGCACGCATCGTTAACGAGTTAAAGGCTAGTATCGCCGTTTTGTTATCTGAGTGAGTGGTTACTTCTCTGAAAGAGGCTACACGCCGGATCAGTAGATCTGTTGCTACCTTAATGACTGCAATCTCGACTTGGAAGACAATAGATAGGCTATAAGTTGATAAAGAGCTCCTGAGAGTAAACCCCTCCACCAACCATATCCATGCGACAAATGAATCCTTTCGATAAAATCTGGTGTGAGATTTAGTGAAAATATCATATTTGACTTGATCTGATTACTTTGAAATATTGGTGTTTACTAAGAAATCAAACTCGTAAACACGTTCATTCTTTAGAAAGAGTAGCTTGTAGTCTCGGGTGACAATTTTCGATATATTGGAATGATTCATAGAGAAATTCTAAAATTCGCCTAGCTATACCTTCCGCTTGGATCACGATTCTAAAAGAATACAGATATTTTTTCAATCTTGAAATTCGCCTTTCTAATTTCTCTAATAAAATCATTCATTAAAACTCATGTTAAAATAACCTCAACAATTTTTATATTAAAATTAACAAAATGCAAAAAATTGCTTTTATTTCCATATTAAATTTTAGCAGAAACAGTATTTACTAATTCAAAAGAACTCTCAGAACGACACACTTAATACTAACAAGAAATTTACAAAAATTTTCTTGCACAAAATTTCACAAAACTTCAATCAGTCGCCGAGATCGCGCAGTTGTCATTGAATCTCTCATCAGCCGTATGAGAAATTCAATAATAACCGTTCGATCTAGCCACGAAATACCACATAATTTTGACACAACCAATAGTAGTATTATTTTTGTCTCCAAGATGTAGAATAAGGGAAACTGGCGTAAGTAGATTTCACTGTAGCTTTAGGACCATCATCAATTACTTTTCTGCTATAATTCAAAGGGCTACGTCTACTTCTATCGTTAAGGTTGACAACGTTCTTAGGACCCTCATCCATTGCTTTTCTGCTATAATTCAAAGGGCTACGACTACTTCTATCGGTAAGATTGGTTCCGTTCGCTGCTTTTTGTGACGTGCTGGGTGCTGCATCCGATTTCTGCCACAACGGTGGTACACTCATTCTATATTTATCACTATTAACACCACTCAAACGTTTTGATCCACTGGGTTCTTCTTCTTTGCTAGACTCTTTCGTTGTCGGTTCTTGTGCTACAGTTGGTAACTTCGGCCTTTTGTTTTTCACGCCAGTATCTTTACGCAATGCCGTTTGTTTCGTCGTTGGTGTTGTTGATTTTTGACTGATGGGCTTTAGCTTCTTTGGCATTTCAGCACCCGCAGCACCTGCAATACGTCCCGCTCCAACTCCCAGTGTCCACTTCATTCTCCCTTTCGGTTTGACAGTTTCCGTTTTCATTTTTAATTTCGTTTGTGTTTGTTTGTTGGTGCGTGTAGTCTTATTGAAGAATACCTCGAATTCGTGACGTATCTCTGCAAGCTCTTCGGGCGTACAATGCGACACAGAAGATTTCATTTTGCTGCCTAAACCGCCATTGATGTCGGCGTATAATTTATTCAAGTTGTTTATGTATTCATTGCTCTTCGCTGTTGGCGATTCGTCTTGATCGGATTCATGTAGTTGACGATCGATATTTTCAAAGAACTCTTTCTCCATATCATGCCGTTTCTTCGAGGGATAATACGTGAAAGGCACATCGGGACTATCACCACGATTTTGTTCATCACAACAATCGCTTTCCTTCGGCTTGAATAGTATGTAGGCTAAAGCGCCACCATTGAGATAGACTTTCCTGCCCAGTTTACTGTGTGAATTCTTCATTGTTGTTGTACTGCGTGCTGCCGTACCGCTAAATCGACGTTTACGGTTTTTGCGTCGTCCCGACTTATTTAAGAAAAAGCGTGCACCCTTCTTCAACAGCTCCGACTGTGCTCCATGCATATCCATTTTGGCTGAGAAGCAATCGATTTTTAGCGACTTCCATAGCGGTGGATCGGCCATGCTGCTCGCTTCCTGCTGCAAATAGTGACCAGTTAGGTGTCGTTGATGTAATCTGTACTCGCTGTTCGGATCATTCAACAGCGGCATACTTGGCTGATTTGCCGCGTAAAAGTGATGACATGGCGGATATGCTTGTTCGTAATTGTTGTAGCCCGTATACCAGTTCCAATTATTATAAGGACATTGATTGTACCAGGGCGTAGCGTCATATGACCATTGTCCATACTGTCCATACGCCGAGTGCCCCCAAGAATACTGGTTACCATTGTAACCATCTCCCATACACTCATCAAACATTTTTATGATTTTTTTTTAGTTAAATATATTCACTTTTTAAATTTTTTACAGATAAAGACGATATCGACATTCTTTTTTACAGAAAATTTTCACAAATTTGTCAATTCAACCATTTCGTTTTACAAATTCCATGAGTTTTTTGTTAGAAAACTCTACACACATGTAATGGGGTGGGTCAAAAATTACAACGTACATGTTTCTGAGGAATACCGTGGAAGATAGAACTAAAGTTTAACTTTTTAAATGGGAGACGTTTGCAAAGAAAGGGTTTTGGTTAAGTTCGGTGATAACGCAGACTGCAGAGATAAATTAACCAAAACCTTGTACTGAATAATGATATATGAAAGAAACACCGCTGATGCGCTGAAATTTGTATGGTTTTATTCGATGGCTCATTAGCTAGAGGTGTTTTAAAGAATCTTATTGAAATTGTCTACCGAGACCGATTCCGAGATAACAGATTCCAGTAGCCAAAACCACGATCAGCTATAGTATAGTACTTTATCGACCTCTGTTTTTCATTCATGATATCAGAAGCCTTGGAAAGGCATATATTTTTCTTAACTATTTAGAACGTGGAGTTTAACGGAGAAACTGTAAAACAACTTGAGCCTTTGGAATCAGGATAAGTTAACAGAAGTTTCGAAAACAAAAAAAAAAGTCACACAGACCAAAATCTAGTTAATACGGTGGCTTAGTGTCAGCGCTTTCGTTTCGTGTTTGGGCAAAAGTCAGTTAAGTAGATAGAGGTCTATTGTGAAAACCCTGGTATTAAAATCTACACACTATTTTTTATCTCCTCGGAGCCATCCCGTACTCCAGATGTAATTTATCAATACGAAAATTTTTATCTATGCAATACAACACACATGAAGAGTTTGAGAAGGGCGTTAGAGTATTTACAAATGCAGAAAGAATTGGCGAGACTTAGGAAACTATTTTCCACAAGACTTGCCTAGCCTGCCTAATTCGCAAAAGTAGCGTAGAGTGGTCGGACAACAGCCAAGGCTACAACAGAACAGAGAACAGATGACCTAATAAGTGTGCACAGTGTGCTGTAAGGAAGCGGCAAGTCCTAGTTGCAAAGGAAGTAATTCGGTAAATGTCTCAGGAAGACATCTATATGGAGAATAAAATAGAATGAACAGTCCGCTTATTCGAACCATACAGCTTTCTCAGTACGGATGGAATCATTCCAGCAATCCTACAGAATGCACACTGTCTATCCGTACCATGGCAAAAGGCAATTTTTAGGGGATCCATGAAGTTCAACTATGAGCCCTCATAGAGAGAGACT